GACTTTATAGTTAACACCTGTTTGTATTTTTAAAGAAGTCATTCTTGTGGAGATAGCAATGTGTCATTAACTTTTCACACTTCACTTAGAATTAATATTGTAACCTCATGTGAAATTTAGAATCCTTGGAACCTTTTAGATCCATTTATATTTTCCATTCTTTATAGTCATATTTATAATATATCTGGACATTATAAACTTTGCAAGACAGTTTTTCCTTTAGACAGCCATGTGTATTTTAAAGACATTAAAAAGAAAAAAGTTTTTATATTTATCCATGTATTTATAATTTCTGAAGTTCTTTATTCTTTTCTAAAGAAGTGAGTTTAATCTGGTATCATTTCCCTTTAGTGTAAGGAATTTTCTTTGGCATTTCTAGTAGCGTAGGTTTGCTGTGGAAGAATTTTTTTTCCTTTTATCTGAAAATGGATGTATTTCATCTAATTCATGAAGGATATTCTTACTGGATATAGAATTACAAATTGACAGTTTTTATTTTTCAGTACTATAAACACACTTAAAATGTGCTTCCACTGTTTTATGACATCCATAATTTCAAATGAGATCTGTTTTTGACTCTTTGTTTTCAAAGAAAAGTAATGTCATATTTCTTTTATTGATTTCAGGATTTCCTTTAGTTTTAGTTTTCAGAAGTTTAACTGGCTGTAGTTTTCTTAGTACTTACAGTGCTTTGCTGAGCTTCTTGAATCTGTAAATTTATATCTTTAACCAAATTTAGGAAATTTTTGGCCGTTCAAATTTTTTTCAACCCAATTCCCTTTTATCCTGGGACCATAATTGCACATATGTTAGACTTTGTGAGATTGTTTCAGAGGTACTTGAAACTCATATTTTCTAATTCTCCGTTATTCACATTGGAAAATTTTCTAAGTTCAAGTTCATTACCTCTTTCCTGTACATTCTGCCATTAGATAATTATTTTAGATGTTGTATTTTTCTCTTATAAAATGTGCATGTGGTTCTTTTTTTAGTTTGTACTTCTTTGCTGTGTTTTCCTATATTTTCATTTTTTGTGAGCTTATTTTCCTTAACACCACTGATTACAGTTATAATACCTACTTTAAAAGTCTTGTCTATTAAGAATAAAATTTGGAGTATTGAAGTTGTTGAAGAAACATGGAGCAGTATAAGAACTGGGATGACTGTTTTCAAAAAAGCCAAGGCAGGAAGCAGTCGTCAGCAATGTTAAGGAACAGAGAGGTTAGTAAAATAAAGATCTTTTTAATAATCAACAAATTATTGATCACAACATGAGCACTTTCAAATGGTGGGATTAGAAAGAAGATTAAGTATGTAGTAATGTGAGTGCAAATGAAATAACAGAAAGTGTAGACTATTTATTTGCTTAAGTACCTCCACTGAGAAAGAAAGAAAGGAGAAATAGAGGGGAAAATTTAGTTTCAGTATGTGGAAAAATAAAAAAATAGTATATTGGTAGAGGTTGAAGCTGTAAGATCATGAGTAGGTAGAAAGGATGGGATTCAGAACATAGTGGAAGGGGCACTTCCTTCTGAACTGGAGAAAGGAGTTCAAGAGTGTCAAGGATTTGTTAGATGAGCATATGGAGTTTGGTCATTATTTTGTAGGCTTTCATCTGTGGTAACTTATAACTGTCTCAATTCATTGAGGGAAATGTAGGTGCTGAGATTTGGGAGCAGAAGTCTAGCGTTTGAGAGGAGGGACTGAGGACTGGTACAAATTTTGAAATAACTGTAGACTCTGGTGGGGCAGATAGTAATAGCTATGAATTAAGTGAAAGGAGCAGTTTTGTGTTTCCAAATGAGGTTTGGTAGGGTGAATTTTTTGGTGTTGTCTTAAACTAGGATAAGAAATTCTTGTGGCATTATTTTTATTGTGGTGGAGGAGAGAATGCACATTTTAGCAGTCACTTCTGTATGAGGGTTTGTTGTGGAGAGTTTAAGAGTGGGTCTTGGAATCCAAGCTAGTTACAGAGGGGACTGATTAAAAAAATTTTTTTTATTAAGGTATTATTGATATACACTTAGGAATGGTTCACATGAAAAATAATGTGGTTACTACATTCACCCATATTATCAAGTCCCCACCCATACCCCATTGTAGTCACTGTCCATCAGTGTAGTAAGATGCCACAGATGCATTATTTGCCTTCTTTGTGCTACACTGTCTTCCCTGTGACCCCCCCCACACCAAGTATACTAAACATAATACCCCTCAATCCCCTTCTCCCTCCCTACCCACCTACCCTCCCACACCCCTCCCCTTTGGCAACCACTAGTCCCTTCTTGGAGTCTGTGAGTCTGCTGCTGTTTTGTTCCTTCAGTTTTGCTTCATTGTTATACTCCACAAATGAGGGAAATCATTTGGCATTTGTCATTCTCTGCCTGGCTTATTTCACTGAACATAATATCCTCCAGCTCCATCCATGTTGTTGCAAATGGTAGGATTTGTTTCTTTCTTATGGCTGAATAGTATTCCATTGTGTACATGTCCTACATCATCTTTATCCATTCATCTACTGATAGACACTTAGGTTGCTTCCATATCTTGGCTATTGTAAATAGTGCTGCAATAAACATAGGGGTGCATATGTCTTTTTGAATCTGAGAAGTTGCATTCTTTGGGTAAATTCCTAGGAGTGGGATTCCTGGGTTAAATGGTATTTCTATTTTTAGTTTTTTGAGGAACCTCCATATTACTTTCACAATGGTTGAACTAGCTTACATTCCAACCAGCAGTGTAGGAGGGTTCGGTGGGGACTGATTTTTATGGGAAAACAGCATTACTGTTGCTAAATCTGAAGTTTCAGTGAAAGTGATGGTGAGGTTTACATAATCTTTAGAAAGGAAAAAGGAGTAAGAATGTTAGGCAGCAGTCTGAAAGTGGGATATTGGAGGTTAAGATATCAAGGGTAGAGCAGCTTTAAGGTCTGAGAATTGGGAGGGTTGATAAATTGGAGAACAGGGAGAAGTATTTTGTTACAAGGTCAAGAAACTGTAGAATAGGTATTTGAGTGAATCATCCACAAGCTCATGGCAGAATCTGGAGTGGAGTGGAAAACTGTAGCACCTAGTTTTCATTTAGTGTGAGGAGTAAACTAGATGATGGTGGTTGTTCTAACAAGGGGAGTTAGAGGCTGCATTGTACTATCTTAAAAGAAGAGTCTTTTTGTGGTTTTTTCCTTGAAAGTGAAAATGTAATTGTAGGTAGTGCATATCTCAATCTTCTGAATATTCTGTGTGATGTTAATATTGATAAATGATTTGCCTTCAGTATTAAATCATTGTTCTTATTTTAAATATTAAATCAAGGGTGCATTATGGATACTTAAGTAATATTCTGTTTATTTTACAACTTAATACTTTTTGGTGGGCCAGGGACATGAAGAAGGATAGATTGGGCTGGCAGAGGAATCGTACTCTTTTTACAAAGGAGAAATTTGGTTTTAAAAACACTAATGAGTTTTTACTCTGTAGTACATTTGTCCCTCTCTTTAATAACTCCTAATGTAGAATAATTTTATTTTTCAGATATTTTAGTTTCAACCAATTCTGATATTTTGTGACTTGTACATCTCATACTTCATGTTCTTCTGAAATTGTACATGTATAATTTGTATGTGTCAAAACTATACTACATAGAACTTTCTGTTTATTCACAATGGAAATTGAACAGGATTTGTTTTGGCAGAAGTTCTAAAGGCCTGGCCTGACCTTTTCCACCTCTTTTCAGGGCCTCAGTGCTTATTGTTTTGTTCTTAAACTTCCTTGATTATCTCCACATGGAACAAATTTGGTATTACTGGTCTCTTGAACTTCATATGCGCTGTGTTCAAAGTGGATTGTTTGTGCTTGTTTTTAAAATCTCAAAATGTTAAATGATTGGCATTTTCATCCTGTATTAAAAGAATTTCTGGTACTAATGTTCATGTGTGAAAGAGTTGGAGAGGGTCATCAAGTCTTGTGCAACAGTCCCGCTAAAAGAGTGACTCCTGTGAAGGTCAGTGAAAGACTGTAAACTGGGTACAGAAACACCTGGGTCACCTGGTCTCTCTTGCTTGCTGGATGACTTTGTGCTGATTCTTTCTCCTTTCTGAATTTAAATTTTTAATCTGTGAAAAGAGTATATTTTCCCCCCAGAGGGTTAAATTAAGTCATAAGTGAAGTAATGTAGGTAAAATACATGGAATAGTAAATATTAGATCCTTTCCTAAATGTTGACCTATGATCTACCTTTATTCTCTTGTTCATCAAGGGAAAAGAATTGTGGAAAAGCTCTAGAAACCTTTAAGTACTAGGATAATTTTTATTGTTCTTTTTTTCCATCTTAGTGAGATGAAAAGTATTTAGGTGATCTGCTCTCCAGACTCTTGCAGAAGTAGCACTTCCTTACTTCCTTAGTTTTGTTTATATTTGTGTGATTCAGCATCTTAAATAGTATTAAGTCAACTAGAACATTTGCAAATGGTACTAGATTTCCATTTTCACCAATTTTGAGTCATAAAGATAATAAAGGGCCTGCCATCACCACCCCTATATCACCTCCAGTTCTGGTACCTGTACTGTTAACTGATTTTAAGATTTTTACAGGGACTAACAGGGATTCACCTAGTACATGATAGGAGCTGTGGCAAAATGCAAGGAAGGGCTTTTATACTGAAATCTGGGAGTCTCCATAGAGTAGAATTAGCAACATTAGAGGGAGGAACATCTAAGTACCAATTTAGAATGTTTATGGATCAGTTGGACACTTGTTGATGATACATTAGCTATATAATAAAACTATATGTGATATATTTTCTTTCATGTTTTAGAAGAAACCTTTTTCTGTTTTTCAGAAAAAACAAGGAGAGAAATGACAGCTAAAGGTTCTACAGGAATGGAAGTTCTGCTGTCAACATTAGAGGTAAATCACTTGAAGGCTTTAGTTTTTTAAAAGAAAAAATACACAGTATAAAATTTTTATCCTAGAGGAAAAGCCAATAGATGAAAGTTTATGTTTTAAATTATCATTTGAATGGTGGTATAAACATTCTAATAAATATTAGGTAAACCTCTATGTGATTATAATGATAACCATAGTTTAAATCTTAACATGCCATTCCAGTTAGTAATAGAAAATAAATCATTAACTGGAAGTAGATCTTTAGATAAAAATAAATGATTGATATTATAAATTCTCATTTATTATATTAGCTGATATATTTTCATGATTTAGTTTACTACATATATTGGTTGAATAACTGTATTGATAATAATTAAATATCTATGTCATTGTAAAAGTTTTGGGTAGCTCAGTAGGCTATAGTTAGAATCAGGATTTTATATTTAATTTAGTGCAATGTTAAGAACAAGGAGTACATTGTACCTTAAATTTATACATTGTTATATGTTAAATTAAATCTCAATAGAGCTGGAAAAAAAGAACAGGGACAGAATTTATGTTATTGATAGGAATTACTTTATATCTAAAATGACCTAAATCTATATGTTAAAGTAATCTCAATAAAAATACCAAGACTTGTTTCTAAAGTCCAATGAGAAAATAACAAGCAAGAATAGAATGGATATTTCTGATAAAGAAGAAAAATCAGAAAGGATTAGTCCCCCAAATATCAAAGAACATTATAAAGTTCAAATAGTTTAGAAATTATACATGAGAAGAAGATGGACATCAATGTTACAGAATAGAAAGTCCTCAAATAAATTAAGATGCATATGAAAATGTAGTACCACTTAATAAAGGTAGCACTTCAGATCAGTGAAAAGCAGCATGACTTATTAAGTGGAATTGGGACAAATCAGTAGCCATCCAGAAAAGCATAGTGTTGGATCCTTACTTCCTACAACAAAGTAAATTCCATAGCAAGCAAAGATTTAAGCATGGAAAATAAAATCATAATGCTAGATGAAGTAATGGGAGAAATTTTTAAATACCCTTACAACAGAGAAAGCTTTTCTAAGTATGAAAAACCCCAGGAACTATAAAAGAAAAGATTGATAAACCAAATGCATAAACCAAAAATGCATGGGGAATACACCATAGACAAATA